ATTTTTAAACGGTTAGGAGATGATATAACAATGACAAAAGAGGAAAAAATACTAAAACTGGCAATAAACGGAAGGCAGAGCAAGATGAAGAGAATTGGGGAAAAGCAATTCAGCCAATTGAATTAGAAACACGTGAGACAAAAGAGCGGATCACAGATACTTCACCACATAACAGAAAATCAAGACATATCTGCAATTTCCTGTAACCCCCATCAAAGGCGGCAGCGTCCTCCTAAATCAAAACATCATTTGCAACAAACCCAGGATGGTCGAATCCTTCCCATCCCAGATGTCTGATTGCCAAGGTCATTAATATCAACTTCTTCAGATAATCTAAGCACCTCACAAGTGTTACACTCATCTCAAACTAGTAAGTATTCCACTTCGACAATCTCTCCAAGCCCGAGCCACCCCCCCCTCCTATGTTCTCTTCTGACCTTCTTCCTCTTTGTTAACAAATCACCCGTCTGATTCTCTTTCACTTCCAATAAATTGTCTACCAAAATTATTTTACGATATTACAGAATGCCAGGCAGAGCATCAAGAATGACAACTTGACTCTATTGCTGCTTCAACTGCTTAAGCAATTGTACTATTGCAAGAAATTCAAGATTTATTGCAGGTTCAAGCAAATCATGATTTTCATCATACTTTTTCTAAGAACTAATTACTGGATATTTAAGAAATTCGTCATATTCTTCTTTATATTTGTTCTCTTTTTTTTTTTTTTTTTATCTTATCTCTTTTTTTTTTTTTTTTTTGAACTTAATTGTTAGAATAACTTCTCCTGAAGTCCTACATAACATGTTTCTTCCAAGGTATAATAACTTACCTCCATAGCAGGATAACCCATTATCCAGATAGAGTAACTCTAATTTAAAGGTTTGATAACTCCACTCCAACATGCCACTGAATAATTTAAAGTAACTCCTAAATCAACTACTTACATTACTCTATCTCCTAGAATAATCATTCTTCCTTCCTAGTACCTATGTACTCTCTAGTAAAATGTAAGATATTCCATTAAGGTACTGGACTAAGAGTATCTCTATTCATTAGACTCTTGTCTATCACTATTCCTATTACGGTAGCCTGTTGATACTGGTATGAGTATAGGTTTGACTATCTGAAATAGTATTTTTTTTTTGGAGTATTATTCTAATTGAAATGGTCTTTACTATCACATTTCTGACTATTTACCTGTCTAGGTACTCAATTTTTATATTATAGCTTATGTTAGAAATCCATTGTGGTTTGAAAAGAATTTCATATGTTATAGTTTTGATTAACTCATTTAAGTTATATATTTTTATAATTATTGTTCATACACATGACCTGTTTAGAGGTCATGTGGGTTTCATACACGACTTAGACTTTAAGTTATGATTATTATGACAATTTTCTACTTTTTCTTTCTTTTTGATTATTTTTCCTTTTGATTATTTTTTTATTTCCTATACTTTTTATTATTTATTTACAAGTTTATTTTCCTTCTTAATGACTATTACAATTTCTACCTCTTTGTTTATATTGTTTTTATCATTTGAAAGTGAGTACTTGCCCTTATGTTGTCTAAACAGGAATGTGAAATGATAGGTATTACAAGAATGACATCCAGTACGAAGAAAGTTATGCTAGTGGCGGGTAAGAAATAACTCTAAAGGTTTGAGATATGAGTACTGGTATGAGAATTTATAGAATTCTGATCGCAATGCTGCTTCTCCATTTACTTCTTATCTCATCCTGCTTCTGCAACTTACTTTCGTATTTTCTAATCTATTTCACTTACCTTTTAGTATAGCCTCTTCTATTTCTAATATATCAATATTACGCAATTCTATGAAACAACTGAGCACAGATGATTGGAAATAATATTTTGAAACCTTTTACTGATAAAATTAATTATATCATCAATTGGCACGCAATATATTTTGTAGGAAACCGATTCTGCATAAGTATCTCTGTACTACTGTGGATGAGACAGTAACCCCTGCTCTGTACCACTTTTTTATGGCTGCACCTTGTAATCAAACACGTAACCGAAACATATTTGGAAGTCACATTACAACACGCCTGTTGGAAAAATACGCTCGATGATATTCAATATGAGAGGAGAGTTCAATTCTTCACTAAACACCGGCCACAGTCCCTACTTTTATATACCACTTACTCTGGCCACCTTTCCTATCTCGCTAAGCTTGTCCTAATTTGCTTTCACTACTGATATATGTGTCCATATCCAAGGCTATACCAAAAAGGCCCACTGCGTGCAGTGCCTAAGAAGTGGTAACTCAGAGTAGCTAAAAGTAGCTTAGACTAGCCTTCTCGTGGGCCGCATTGGGAAGCATTCTTCCAACACCACCTTCCCTCCCATGTCAAGCGCTCTAGAAGTAGCGGGCCCGACGCTCCGGTGGAGGACAAGTGCGCATGGGCAGTGTTCGTGAAACGCATGACCTGAAACCCGAGCCAGGCAAAGAGGTAGTATCATACGAGCACTGTACTTGTCCCCAAGCACCCTCTTGAAAACAGGGGTTCGCAAAATACATTGCACAAAGTGAGTGCCCGTATGAGCGCCCGGACAAAATCAGGACTCAGATTCTTGAATAGTTCTTGTCTGGGACAAGTACCGCACTCGAGTAACATGTCGAATACGGTTTCATGCAAGTTAAGCGCTTGTGCGACTCTCGTTGGACATAATAAAGCAAAGTGCTCGCAGGGTTTATCTATACGAGCACGATACAGTACTGGAGTACAGTACCGTACTCGTACTGTATAGTCCCTGCAGAGATACCTTTTGACTACTATTATGACTTATACTAGACGCAGAGTTGTGCCTGCGCAGACCACCAGAGCGTTTCCAAGCGGTAGGATACTTGTACTCGGGTACAGTACAGCACTAGTACTGTACAAGGGTAAGTCGGGCGAAACCTCCACTGCTAGTTTTTTGATCCGGGTAACCACACCCCCTAAGTTAATCGCCAGGTTTCTAGGCCAACTTTCAGGGGAGCGACGATAGTACTCGAGTAGTCTAATAGGGAGAAGCTGCCAGGTGTTGCCCGACCTTTGTCCTTGATCATGAGGTACCACTGAAATTTCCTAATTTGTGCTGGTTTCCACACGGGCGCCCTGCCCGTTTTGGAAGTGTCGCCCGGCGTACGGTATCGGACTAGTACTAGTACCCCCCGAGTACCCGCAAAGCACTACTCTTACACACTGTACGAGTACGGTGCTTGAAGTTTCAACGCTACATACCGCACCACACTCCTCACCTCCCGTCATCCCCCCTAGGCGAAAGTGAGGAACAGATATGTTGCCCTGAAAGTTATAGTGGAGCCCTACTGAGCTTTTTGTAGCTTTAGCTCACTTCAGCGCTACGGAATCACTTCTCTCGCTAGCATAAACGCGCTGGAGTGAGGATCTGGCGTTGATGAGGACAATTCCCTCTACGTAGAACATGAAAATCTCAGCGTGCACCAAGACCCTCGTACAGTACTGTACGGTACTCGGTACAAGCACTGCAAACCAGCTGCCGGCGATTGTATTTGCTCGACTACGTTGCGGTACCCCCCAGCCGGAATGTTTAGTCCATCCATCTAATCCAGAAACCACATGCAGAACACGGGAAATAGCTTTTCAGTTATGTCATAGTTCTTAAGCATAAGTCATTGTCTGTCGGGTAAAGTACCACTGAAAACACCAGCAAAATTTAACCCCAGCCAAATCCTCAGTAACCCGGGGTTTTAATTCATGTCTCTTTAGCTGCAATCGATAGTGAATTGGCTATTCCACAAGCAAGAGAGGGTCAAGGTATCGTATTGAAATATTTGTGCTAAGCCACAAAAATTGAATGGAGGCCCATAGAAAATGGTACTTGTTTTGATAATTCCCATTTTCATAGCCTGGCCTACAATGTAAGACACATCTGATCCCACTGAAATTGAGGTATTGAGAAATCCATATCAGGACCTGTTACCTGAAACCAACATAGAACCAACTGAAGTCGATGTGGCATTGTTGGATTGTTGCAGAAATGACCACTTTTGGTGTAAAAATGGCAAGTGACAATCACTTTTTCTCATGGCATTGTACAACAACTTGACCTTCCCCGGTACTGTGCTTATATATTGTGTAGTGATACTTCCACAAAGGTCCATCCCAGCTTGCCTCCAGCATACTGGGAGAGGCACATCTGTTCCACTGCACTGTGCTGTGTTGTGTTGTGCTCTTACCTACTTTCCTTATCCTCGAGTGGTGTTTACCCGTAATTTAATGGCTGTGCCGTTCTGCGCAGTTGTGGGGAAATTGCTCCCATGCTAAGCGCGTAGGGGTGCATATGGTGGATAATGCAACCCCCCTTCCCCCCTTCTAGTATCGTTCGGTAGCATGAATTATCGGGATTCAACTTCTGTCTGTGGAACCAGCAGGTTTGTTTCATCGACTAGCCCCCCCCCCGGGATGTTCGTTTTTGCGGTCTCTCGGAAGAATTGATATACGAGCTTCCGCGCATGCTATTCTGAGCATTGACCTGGTTAACGAGGAGTCCAGTAGATAAAAATGCTATTGAGGATCAGCGCCTTGGGGGGTACAATAGAGCAGGGTAGTTGGAAACTCTGAAAGTGGTAAGTGAAGTAGATAGAGTGTGAAAGGTTTAAAGATGGCTTCCATTCCCCATTCCAAGACATCTTAAAATCGTCCTCACGCACCCGAAATCGTTATAGTTCATCGATAGTCACTCTTTCGAACTCATTCTTTCCATTTTCTCTTAATTTTTAAAAGGCTACACTCTCTTTCTCTAAACATTCAATCTTTGTATTATTAGACAAGCCAGTAATAGATAATGCGTGGGGCAACGACTCTTCTCGCCATCATATCTGGTCTCTCAGGATCATATATCCAAGCCAGTAGCGCAGCACCAACACCTGTAGCAACATCTGGAGCCGGTGACCTGTTCGAAAATATCTGGGAGAATCTCGTCGAGACAGGGAAAGATATCATCGGTGGTGACAACCCTAGCACCTCCAAAGGAAGTAAGTCGCTATCAACCCCAACCAGTATCAACATCAAACCAACTATAGAGCCAAACACTAACCAATGTAAAGCCCTTGATCCAAAACTCCTTCCCAAAATCCTGTACTTTGCCGAGTTCGCAGCAGCGGCATACTGCGATCCTAACCATGTCGTTGGCACTGAAGTCACCTGTGCTGGGGGCGTGTGTCCGGAGATAACTACAAATAACATCACCACGATTCTAGAATTTGCAAAGTCCATCCTCCCTCCCCCTTCCTCTCCTCCTCCTTCCTCTACTAACATCCATGATAGCACACAAGACGCCGACACAACCGGCCTAGTAGCCCGCGACGACACTGTCAAATCCATCGTGATATCCATCCGCGGCAGCAGTTCGCTGCGCAATTGGCTGGCAAACATTCAGGCAAAGCTCAAGAAAGTTCCCGAGATATGCCCGGGTTGTGAAGTACATAGCGGGTTTTACGAAGCCATGCAGGAAGCGTTACCGGCCGTGGTGAAGAGCGTTGAGGAACTGAAGAGGGAGAATCCAGGATACACGGTTGTTGTTGTTGGGCATTCGCTCGGTGGGGCTATCGCGACGTTAATGGCTGAGGAGATTAGGAGGGGGGGTGTAGAGGTTGATTTGGTATGTTGTTGAGCCCAACTTAGGATGCGGAGGTAGTGGTGCTGTTGGCTAATGGGGAAGTGTGACAGTACACCTTTGGTGCACCCAGAATCGGGAACGAAGAGCTATCAACCTTTATTTCAAAGTCGGGAACTAACTTTCGCGTTACCCACACCGGTAAACCCCCCCCTCCCGCTCCCTTCAAAATTTAATGATACTAATTCTTTAATTATTATTTTTTTTAAGACGACCCAGTCCCCCGCCTCCCACCCGTAATCCTTGGGTACCAGCACATCTCACCGGAATATTGGATCTCAAAAGGCGACACGAATATTAGCGCTACCGACATCCAGATCTTCGAGGGCGGGATCAATACCGGTGGGAACAGCAACGGACCGATATCCCTAAATATACCAGCGCACTCGCACTATCTTTTACCAGTGGAGATTTCCTCTTGTGCGCCTTCTGGTTTCGAGTTTTAGATTTGGGAAGGGGGTTTTTCTTTTCCTCCTGTTTTGTCCGAAAGTGATTAGTTATTGCACATGAGAGTTTATTCCGTTTAGATCTGGCTACAGAAATAGAGTTTACGCACCTGTTTTCGTCTCATCCTTTAATATCATACATTGCAATTTATATTCCAGCCGAGTGACAATATATGATCACAACTGGCTGCGACCACATATCATACTAGAACACAAGCCCAAAGTCAACTAAGCTCGACAAGCGATAAAAACTAGAATCTAGTTGGGTAGCCAGCCAGCGCTGCCGAAAGGCAAAGGCGAACACCAACCTTTGAGGAACATTACCCCCTCCCCTTTAGCCAGCAACCTTCCACAGGACCCATCTCTTTACACCTCCAACCAATAGAGCAGAATAAGAGGGCGTTTTGTACGCACAATTTGGAACCGACCAATCACAATGCACTATGAGAGATTGTATAAGAAGGTTTTATGCACTGTGATTGTTCAGTCCCAATTCGCGCGCACCCATGATGTGCTCCCATAGGCTTGGCTTGTGTGGGTACGAAATGCCGCCAGAGCACAAAAGTATGTCGAACTCTTGGCGTGGTATCATACCTGGAGCAGATACGATACTATACCGTTCTCCGGGTGGGCAAGAAGGCTGGAGCCAAAAAAGCGAGGTTCGACAGACTTACCCGAAACCCCAGGCACAAAACGCAATTTTGAACACAAATTTTGTGGTTGCCAAACATCCCCTAATAATATTATCATAGGAAAAAGCCACTAAGGGGGGTCAGAACCCCGTCACCCTCCTATCATAGGCACAAAGCCCATGAGCATGCACACACACTTGTCCGCACACAATCTCACTCGCACGCTCACTCGTTTGCTCCCATTTATCCATTCTTCATTCGCACTTTTAATGATACAGCTCCCTCACTGTTGGGATTACCATCCCATCAACCCATACCATAACCGAATCACTTATTTACATCTATCACACTTCCGGGGCCTTTGTGGAGACATCTATCTGGTGATAGTCAGAGCACGGTTGTAGCATAAAAAGGTTCAACACAGTAATGATACTACAATTCACATCTATTTATCCGAGAGTAAATTCACTAGAATTCAATCAATGGTAAATAAAACCCGTAGCACAGCCTCCTAAATGCCCGAGCCCACGATGACATATTGAAGCTCTAAACCACAGTACAAGAGGGTGGTAAGGATGACCAGAACGCAGACCGTAGAACAGAAAGTACTGCTCTTGGAAAGGCAGTGTACTGTATCTATACTGTACAGTACAAAACTATCAATATCGAAGCTTTAGCCATGGACACAATTGACTCAAAACAAAATCATATTGAGTACTAGCACCATACAGTACTGTACCAACGCTCCCGCCAACAAACACGCGCTCATCTGACTGCCTGGCTCATCTCGCTCGGGCATCCGTCGCATTTTGACAATGCCATAATATATTCCTTCCCATTCCCTGAAACAGCCCCACAAAAGTAGCATACATTTTATTCCGAAGCCCATTTCCCATTCCATTCGCCCCTCTTGAATCAACACAGCACAATTCTAACTTGACATTCTCCCAGACAGGCTCTTTTAATTCCGAAAACCCAGGGAAATAAAAATACCACATTTCCCCATTTTAATTTCGTGTGATGTTTGGTATCACAACTACATCAGAGTTTACGACTACAGATTTTCCACCGCTTAGCGCTCTCCCTTTTCTCTCCTGGCCCTAACTTCCCTCAAAGCGCGACTGCCACTGAACAAGACGACGGGTCCTACGAGAGCCATTCCGGCGAGTGTCTGGAAGAGGTTCCAGTGGGTGTAGTACATGAAGAAGATGCCCTCCAGCGAAAGCAAGCTAGCAAAGAAGATCGGGTGGGAGATCGGGGCAGCTTTGAGAGCTTGGCGGAGGTGAGACAAGTTCCCTCCAAGAATTGGGAACCACTATTACGCTCATTAGTCTCAATTCAGCTGCCCGCAGCGCGTCAGTGGGAAGCTTACAACTACGAAAAGACCGCCAAGTCCCACCAACACCGAGAGCAAGAAAACCAGGGTAATAATCTTAGGGGGGCTCTGAGGATCCACTCTAAAGATATGACGGATCTCACCCTTGGCCTTGTAGATAGCAGTTCCCTCGCCAATATCCTTCTGCTTCTGCTTCTCGAGGAGGGCTTTCGAGGTAGGGTCAAGGGAGGGCTCGACGTTTCCGATGGTAACAATTGAGGCAGTAGATTCGCCGAAGGAGCCGAGGACAAGCGACAGCAAAAGTGAAGGAGCGGTAAGTAGAAAGGGCGAGAGATCCTTGTGAGACTGTCATGGGAACAATTGGTTAGGACACGTAACCATCTGAGTACCCATATATGAGGATATATCATACCAAATCGACTCTGGCTTTGCCCGACAACTCTTTCACAGAAAGCGGGAAAAAGGTCTCCACTTTGCTCCCAGGTTCCTGAACCAGAAGGAACGCCTGGTGAGGGCGGCCAACCTTAGAGTCCTCCTTGACGGTTAACGAGACTTTTAATACATCCTTTGGCCCAAGGCTGATAGCTCCTTTGATTGATTCGGTGGGGGAGAACCTAGCGAGATGATTTGTCAAATGGAAACAATCCCGATTGCTCTCACCGCCCCAAAATTCCGGGTGTGTTTTCTAGTTTGTGAGCACTCACTTATAAGCATCAGCTTTACCTCCTTTTGCGGCGACAACAGCTTGCGCATCTTCAAATATCCAAGCTCCGGAAGCTGCAGCGGCCAGTGACGAGAAGGCAAGAATAAAAAGGGCCCAGAAGAACATTCCAGAGGAAGTTGTTGAACGCATTGAGAAGGATAAGGGATTTGATTGGGAAAGGCTCAGGATTCGCCAAAGGAAACGTGGTGTTGAGCAAGTTTGAAGTAGCTCCTCTCGGGTTACCCGGCCCCACAGAATTTTATAAGGGGGCATCGGCCCCTTATAAAATTATACTTTTGGTGTAGAAAGGATAAAAACCTCAAAGTCTTTTGTCCTAGTATGATACTTTATCATAATATTTTAAAATTGTCTTCCCGCAAAGATAATGATTATAATGTCCCATACATTTCTCACCCATTTATTATATTCTACAGCATTCCGAGTATGGTAATACATGATAATATTATACTGTTTAGAGATTATTGCTTGCACAACTTCTCTCCAAATAATTTCTGGCGTTCCTTCCTCGCCAATTACTCCCCTTTAAGCCTTTTTTTCTCCAGAGCACTCCCAAATTTCGCCAATAATATCTTGAACAACACCCACAAAAATCCAAGCCCGATAACAGTGGCAGTGCCAATCTTTATCATCTGTGCATTTTCCAATCCCAACACAGGCACGTCAATGCTGATCCAGGCTCCCTCACTCCTCTCTTGCGGCGCCGGAGAGAGATGATAATACATGACCTGCTCAGGAAACAGGTCCTCCCACCCTAGATGCAACCTGTCAAACGGGTTAACTGCCATCTTTTTCCAATGCTCACTTCTACAAGCCCAAAACACACTCGGCCAAGCGAAATCGACCTTCGTAGTTGTGCCGCCGTAGCGGGGTTCCAAGTATCGTAGGTGTAGCGGCAGCTCTAGCTCTACCCCGTTTTCTCCCTTCTTAGTATCTACTTCAACTAAGACCCGGCTCCCCCACTTTTCCCGTGTCCAAACTGGCGCTTCAAGATCTATTTCTCCAGAAATTTCTTTGATTTGTTTTATGCTTAGTGAGTCGAGGAGCTGTTGATTATCTGATGAAAGTTGATATTTATCGATGAACAAAGCTACCGGAAGAGTGAAGTACGCGTTGAGCGTGCACTCCTTGCCCCTGTTCGAAGGTGGTATCACTGGGGCATGAATAGAGAGCTTGAGCTTAGGGTGTAGGCCCGGTGGAAGCGCTGTGGTGATGCTAAAGGTCGACTCTGAGCGATGATGGCGAGAGGCAAATGAAAACATTGTTGGTTCTAGGACGAAGTTAGGGAAATGTACATAATATCATCTTAATAGGATATCACCAAAGTCATCGCTCTCGCCAAGTTCAGCTATGAAGCCAGCCAATGTGAGACCTTCCTCTTCCATTGGGGCTACGTTCCCCAAGACCCCAAGCTCGACATCAGAGGTTTTTGTACTGGTTATTGACAACCCGTCCCATTTTGGATGGTTTGGAGCATGTACACTCGACAGCACCAGCGTTTGGGCAATAGCGTCGTACGTCACGTCGATATATTCAGCACTTTCCAATGAATGAACCTCAGCTCGTCGCACAATATCTTTCTCAGAGAGATGATTTCGCAGGTACTGGACGAATGCTGAAGCTGAGCGTAATGGGGAGTAGAACTGATAGCTTCCGGGTATCTTAATAAAGGAAGACTTGAGATCCCGACAATGATCTACACCGAAGACCTTCTCAAGAAGCAGGCAAATAGAGTCTCTGCCCATTTGTCCTTGTCAGTGCATAACATGTAATCGAGAGGGTATATTAGCATACGGAGAAGTTCCCTGCTCGGGTGACAAAAATATATGTAAACCGCCAGGAGTCCTTGAACTGTACGGATCAATGGATTCATAGATATCTCCGCTCGCGAATTTTAAATGAACCTCCCTACATGAGCTTAAAACATCCTGGATCTCGGCCGGGAGCTCGTGGACGCCGAACGTAAACCGGTCTTCACGCACAGCAGATGGTGGCAGCGCTTTTATCACAAAGGAGTCTTTGTTGAGGGAAAGGTTCTCCGGGAGAGTCCCGTGGGACTCAGAGACGATGAAAGTTGACCGCTGCTTCATGATTGCTCCGTATCGAGCGAACGAAGAACCTCGAGAAAGACAAGGGGATAGACGGACTTGTAACTCGTAGGGTGATTGAGCAACCCAAAAGGGTAGAAACGAGCACGGCCGGACTCTAGGCTTTGTGGTGGTGAACGAAACTGATCGAGCCCCCCAGGTTCCAGTGAAAAAACACCGGGAGCGTTGGAACAGTTAGGGATCGCAGGGTTCTGCGCCTTGTAGGCTCGTTGTCAACATCCCACCCCATCTGAAACTACGAGGATGCCAAGACGGGAAACAAGAGAAACCAATCAGCTAGGGGTTGAAATTATTTACAATACTGGTACTCGTACAGTAAACCTTCCCATAATTCGAAAACCTCCCGAACCCCCAACCCTCCTATATTTCCAGCCTTGTGTAAGAACGGGTTTGGTATGATGCACACCACATAAAATGTATCCTATCATATCATAATATGAGTGTGGTTTTATTAGAACCAGCATATGGGCAGTTTTCGTTGTTGTTGGGAAAATGAGTTTGAAGTGTGGCAACCAAAGAGTTTTTCTTTTTCTCTCAAGTAAATCGACTACTCTACCATGATAAAAATGTTTAAAAATAAAGTAACTTCGTTGGAATTTTATTTTGTATATGGGTTTTAGATCTATGAAAAATATTTTGCGAAATGATGCTATTTACATGGTTTTCCTACTATTTTTATTCTTTGATCCGGGTGGTCTTTCTCGCTTTCTAGGTTTTAGTAAATCTTGCTCTACTAGTTCTGCAGCGACTATACTAGTATCAGCCCCTTCCCTGACACTAGTGATAGAAGTATCATTTCCATCTGATTGTAGAGTAGTTTCCTGCCATAGTTTCTTATTACTGTTACTTGTAATTAGTGAATTAGAAAGTATAGTATCTGAACTACTGGCTATTGGCCTGTCAGTTGCTGGAGGAAGTGTCTTATACTTTGTTCCTCGTACCTTGACTGCCTTGGCCTATTGAATTGTGTCCATAGTGAGCTCTGTATAAAGTCAGGTAAAACAAATATCTTCTGGCACATAGGGATCATACTTACTCCACATGTCATAATATCTTTCAGGCTTGAAGTCAATTGGTGGAATTAGTTCAGGCACTATATTCTGAATTTGTAATTCATCAACACCAGTCTTATTCAGATCAAACTGCTGCCAATTACTAAAAGGTAATTTCTTTACTAAGACAACTTCTGGAAGTTCTTTCAGAAAAAGGAATACCTGAAAGCTTTGTATACCTTTTCACACCTTTATTACCGTACTAAGTGCCTTTTCCCAATAGCAAAAAATGTTTGGTATAGAAGATTCAAAGAGGTGGATAGGCTTTATAGTTCCAGCTAGGGTACTCTCTGAAACTACCTTACTATAGTCATCTGGTGTCCAAATGCTACATTTTGAGACAGCGCCAAAGCACAACCCGGATTCTAGCGGCACAGACCGTAAA